ATAATGCATCACTGCATTTAACCCTTGTCCCTCAGGCTCTCTGTGCTGTCACATCCCCCGTTTCTGTTTTCTCTTTGCTCTCCCAGCCTTAACATTCCCATTACAAGCTCTCTACAAGGTCTGTAAGAGGTGAGAGTGATATCTGCAGTATCCACTGCCCAGGAATCTAATGGAGTGCTACGTACCTGATAATAGCTTTTACTACAATGAGATGGAAACACATCAGAGGAGAGGATTGCCCTGCCAGGGGGGTCTCAGCAGCGCTGGCTGGGCTTTGCCAGGGGACACTGGAGAGGCCAAGACACCATCATGGCCCAGCTGGGACTGTGGTGACCCCTTCCTTATGTTTGACCCAGCTTTGTGAGGCTCCTGGGGTTCCTGCAGACCCCGAGGAGACGTGAGGCACTCAGGACTTCTGTGGGAGCTGAAGGGCTGGGGAGCAGAGATCTGCTCCCTCTGGGCTGTACAGCCGAGCTGCTTCCTGCTGATCCTCCCTGATACTGTGGTGGGGCTATCATCAGGATCTGCATGGACAGACCCAGTTCCAGCCGCCTCAGCTGAGTCACACGGGGCAATGCTGGGAGGGAAATGCTCTGCTGGGGAACTCTCATTGCCCCTGACCCTCCCCAGCACCTTTGCTGGTGTTTCAGAGCTCCTGCTGTGTGCACTGGCAGTGTCACCATGCTGTGAAATCAAGTGCAGCAGTCCCCAGGTACTCCTCAGACCCCGGGCCTCTCCCTGTTCCTGCTGTCCCTAATCTGGGATCTTTCACCCCACGTGCAAGAAGCAGATTTCACACTCTGAGTCGAGATAATGATTTTATTTCACATCTATTCAGAGATGGGTGGTGAATCAACAAAGCCGACACACCCTCAGCGTGCCAGGTGCCCACTTTTCCACATATGAAGGAATAGAAATCAGCATTTCCCTACGGCCAATCACAAATACCATAGCCATTGCTTTTGCAGTCTGTGCCTCGTTTAAATATACTTCTTTTACTACTCATGCTCTGTGGGGAAGAGGCTTATGTGAATAACGGGTGATGACAGCCTGTGGGCAGGGATTTTACTATGCTAATGAGCACTGGAATCACACAAAGCTGTAATTTGGCTTTGTAATTTGATTTATAGCGTGCTCCTGCTCTTCACTTCTCGGGTCATGGCTCTAGGTTCCTGCAGGGTTGGTTATTCCCTCATCTTTCGCAAGTTCTTTTGTTTGTCCTGTACTGCAGTGAATTTTTGACCTTCTCGTGGTACTTCATTTCAACACATCTCCTCTCTTAGACTTAGGGAAATGTCCATAGCACATTTCCCGTAAGTCTCACCTTATTTTTGGAAAAGCATAGTGGACTCTTATCTGAAAGAACAAAACAAACACATACTCTCATTTTGTGATACCGTGGCATTGGCAGTCAGTCTCTGTGGGCTCATGGCACTTCAGCATTCCCATGGCAATCTCCTTTGGGGTGGCTCCTGAAGCCCAGAGGGTGCCACCACTCCTGCATTCCCACCTCCACACAACACACAACCTTTGGATTCATGTGGATTCAGTGGGAAGGGTGGATGAGTGTCCCTGCTCTGGAAATCCCCTGCTGACTGCACAGGGCTGTTCTGAGCACGGGAGTCTCGTCCCCACTTAGGACAGAGAGGCACCAACCAGCCCTGGTCCCTCAGGGACATGTGGCACTGCCAGTGGCTGTGTGCCCCCAGAGCTGACCAAAAACTCCAGCTCCAAACACAAACACAGGATGAGCAAGTCTTCACTTTACTTTTCCTGTCCCTTTTTGTAGTAAAGAAATAGTCCCAGAAGTTTTTTTGAGGGGCTGTTCCCCCTTGCCCATGCTGGCCCCATGTGCAGCTCTGCAGCTCTGCCAGGTGATGCTGCCCTAGCTGGGCTCTGGCTGTGCATCACAAGGATCTGTGTGGAAGGACACAGTTCCAGCTGCCTTATCTCAGCTGAGTCAAACAGGGAAATGCTGTGCATGGGAGCCCTCATTGCCCCTGACCCTCCCCAGCAACGCCCCAGCAACACCCAGGCTCTGTGCTATATCCAGCCTTCAATTTTCTTCAGCCAGTCCCACCCAAAGGGGTGTCTCTGCTAAAATTCGGGGTCTCAGGATTACATGGTGTCCGAGCATCCCAGGACCTGGAAGGGCCATGGGATGTCAGGCCCCCAGGAGCAGCTGCTCCCTTCGGGTCCTTGGGCACATCAGCCCCATCCCTGTTTGGCTTCAGGGCTGTGCTCTGGTGAGAGTGAAATGTGCTATTTCCTCATAGTTGAGAAAAGGACCAAGTGTCTCATTCTGACTTCTGATAGACAAAGCTGCTGTGGAGCAGTGGCTAGAGTACACACACACACACCCCTATTTGACCTGCTTTTGACATGCATTTATTTGCCTGTGGCCCTTGGAACGACTCTGGGACCCAGAAGGGAGTTGCCACACTAGTGTGAGGACTCGGTGGGGCTCCAGCCCAACCATCACTGCCAGGCACTGGGCTGACTGGTGTTTGTGAAATGACATCACCTCCATTGGCAACACCTTCCTGGTGCCTTCTGAAAGGAAAGCAGCCTGACTCAGGGTTAAAAAAGGGAGTCTCTCATTTCCCAGAACTCAGTTTCCACTCCATGAGGTCATCACAGTCCCAGGGTGGGAGGTGCAGGCAGTGGCTCTGAGCATGTCCCGTGTCTCCAGGTGAGCTGCTCCACTTGCTCCTGCCCCATGTTCCTCTGCCAGAGGTTCCCTGGGTCTTGCTGTGAATTGTCCCAGCAGGGACCAGCTCCAGCCCTCCCTTCCACTCTGATTCCAGTGGGACTGATGGAGTTTGGGCCATTTAAAGCTCCCTTGTCCCCAGGTGCTGCCCATGGCAAGTTGCAGGGAGGGCTGGAGGTCTCTTGGGCCACCCATTCCCAGATGTCTTTTGGGAGCCCCCTTGCCCCTCCAGAGGCCCAGGTCATGCTGGGGCCCTGTCCCGGTGCCTGGAGCCCGTCTGGGCTGTGCCAGGCAGGCTGTGCTCTGTGTATGGACACAGCAGCACTGGCTGCTCTCCTGCAGTGTACCCCTCTCCAATTTCAGATGGCCCTGCAAGGGTTGCTCCCATCCCTGCAGGAGCTGGGACACACAGAGAAGGGTGGCAGCTGGGGCTGCTACTGCCCCTCTGTCACAGAGATGCTGCTTTGGCACCTGGGCTGGGCTGTGCAGAGATGCCTTCCCCACCAGCCCAGGGGTACAGAGGGGCTCAAGGCTGATGTCTGCAGCACCAGCCTTAGGAAGCTGCACCTCTCTCCCAGTGTATCCACATGGCCAGGCCAGCAGGGCACTCCTCTGCTCTTGGGTTTGGGAAAGGACCCACTGGCAGAATACCCAACCCACCAGCCACAGCAACAAAAATAAACCCAGAGGTGAGATTTTCATCTTTGCCAGGCTGTACTCCAGTGTGGGAAAGAGTGCTGGCCTGAGACTTGAGGAGTCTCCATCTCATGCCAGAGACCTCGATTCTCACACCAGACAGGGAATGGATGTCAGGGTCCCCTCAAGCTGTGTCAGCAGGGCGAGGCTCCAGCAGGATTTCTCCATGGGGGGTGCTCCCAGAAGGAATTCTGCGTGGCCACAGGCTGGTGTGCCAGCACTGCACACTGCCTGGGTGCCAGGGCAAATGCCCCAACAAGATTTGTTCCAGGACTTGGTGGCCCTGGGCACAGCAGGTGACTCCTCTGCACCAGGCATGAGCGCTGGGAAGGCACACGGGGTGGTCCTGGCTGCCAGACCATCCCCTCACCCCAGCACCCCACCAGGACAGCACAGCCAGTGCCACTGTTCAGTGTTGTGGCACTCCTGTGTCCCCACACACCCCAGGGAAGCTGCCTTACCTTGGAGCAGAGCTGGGACACGTTGACCACTGGTTCGTCTCCAAATCAGCAGCAAAACGCTGGCAAAGCCACTTGCAGGTGAGGCGATGTGGCACACAGGGGATGTCCCCCTGTCTTGGGCACCACACCCCAGTGACAGGGCTGGTGTTAGTTGGGACTCACGGTCCAGGCAGCCCCACTGGGGCTGGGCAGCAGGAAAGGGCTCCGTGCCTGTGCAGCGTCGTGGCAAGGCTGAGGGATGTCATCATCTGTTTGATCTTCTTTGGGTCTGATGAGCCCCTTCCTTAATTTATTAATTATCTGGTGGTTGGGAGCTGTGGGAGTGTCCAAAGGCACCATGGGTCCCCAGGGCCACTGTGTGAGTGTCCCCTCCTGACTCAGAGGCTTCGCTGCCTGTCCTGCTCCTTTCCTGTCCCTCACCTGCTGCAGCTCCAGTTCCTCAGTGCTGTAGCAGACACTGACCCCAGACAGCTCTCACCCCATAGCCCCCACCCAGCCCCACAGCAGTGCCCCTGTGGCTGCTGCTGACACACCTCCTGTGGCAGCAGGTGATGGAACACCCGTGGCCTCTGCACTCGGGGTGACTGGGGGCATGTGGCACAACCACAGCAAGAGGGGCATGAGCTCACACAGGAATGAGCTGGAGATGACAAGGACCAGGCAGCTGCCACCTCCCAGGTGACATGTCGTTGGCTCAGGGGAGCCAGTGAGAGGCTCCAAGTGGAATAACTTGAGCACCTGGGGCAGGTTACACCAAGCCCTGGGAGATTGCATCCCAGCATGAAACAGGAGCTGAAGATCACCTGTGAGGCAGGTCCATCTCAGGGTGCGCAATAATCACAGAATCTCCTGAGCTGGAAGGGACCCACAGGGATCATCCAGTCCAACCCCTAGCCCTGCACAGACACCCCAACAATCCCACCCTGTGCATCCCCGTCACACTGGCACTTCACACACTGGTCTGCACTTCCACAGGGAATACTGGATTCCTCCTGTTCTCTGGGGACTCTGAGGGCAGTGTTGCACCCCAAAGGGGTCAGTGAGACCCCTCTTCAGAACCAGCATCAGCCATGCACACTCCTCCCCACGTCTCCCATTTCCATATTTAGGAAATAGAGTGAAACACAAAGAAGAAAATTCATATTCCTGTTCAAAAATACACATATCAGTGATCTCAACATACCTTACAAAACCCTGTCAGCACACTGAAGGTATGAAGTGCTCAGGAAGGAAAGGGGACAGATGGAAATCCATGAGCTAGCTGCTGGGAAGGGCAGGGAAGCAGGAATCTGGGCTGTACCAGGAGATCTACAGCAACCCTCCACCCTCCAGGCAGCAGTTTTAGGTACAACTGCTTTCTAGGCAAGAAGAATTTTATAAATAAACCAAATCCTTCAACACATTTTTATTCTAAAATAAAATAACTGTCACGCCCAGCGGCGCTCGCGGCACAGGACAATGCAGGAGCTGAGGGAGCACAAACAGGGATGTGCAGCTTTTGGAGAAACGTGATGCTCTGCAACACTGCCGCGAGCCGGGGCACTGCCCCTGTCCCAGCCTGTCACCTGCCCCTCCGCACGGGAACGGCGACGGGAGCGGCCCCAGGAGCGCCCCCGGGTGCGCCGGGCATGTCCCCCTGGGCCGGGGCTCAGTTCACGCGGCAGGCCCGGATCATGAGCAGCTGGAGCAGGATGAAGACGGGCGACATGATGAGCCCGTACCAGAGCTCCCGCGTGTGCTCCACCAGCTTCTGGCACAGCAGCATCTCGAACACGAACTTGAGGCTGAGGATGGTGAGGATCCAGAAGAGCCGCAGCACTGCCAGGCGCTTCTCGCCGTCCTGGAACAGCCGCACGGACACGATGGTGGTGAAGTAGGTGCTGAGCCCGTCGGCGGCGAAGAAGGGCACGAACACGATCCACCAGGAGAGCGCGGCGGCCGCGCCGTCCACCTTGAGCACAAGCAGCACGGAGAAGGCGAGCAGGGCCAGCCCGTGCAGGAAGATCTCGAAGGTGGCGAAGCCGAGCCACTGCACGAGCTCGCGCAGGGAGAACAGCATCGTCCGGGGTTACGGCACCGCCACCGGCCCGGCCCGGCCCGGCCCGGCCCGGTCCTGCACCGACACCGGAACAAGTCCCCAACCCGGCCCCGGCGCCGGCGCCGGCCCGGCCCCAGCACCGACACCAACCCCAGCCCCTGACCCGGCACCGGCACCAGGCCCGGCCCGGCCCGGCCCGGCGGCGCGGGGCGATGGCGTCACGGGGAGAGGCGACACGAAGTGACGTCATCAGGCGGGGTGGGGGTTGGTGCTCGGGGAGTCCTGGCACCTCAGCCGGAATGATTACGTCAGCGGGAGCTGTCGCACAGTGGTGACGTCAGTGGCGGGATGGGGCCGGTCCGTGGTGAGTTCCGCAGAGCGGCCGAGCCCTGCCGGGCCTGGCCCCTGGACTAGGCCTGTGCACCTTCAGAGGAGAATCCCCGGGGACCCCCTGCCAAGGCCTAAAGGGGCTCCAGGAGAGCTTCAGGGGACAAGGCATAGAGGGACAGGACACAGGGAATGGCTTGCACTGCCAGAGGGCAGGGCTGGATGGGATATTGGGCAGGAATTGTTCCCTGGCAGGGTGGGCAGGCCCTGGCACAGGGTGCCCAGAGCAGCTGTGGCTGCCCCTGGATCCCTGGCAGTGCCCAAGGCCAGGTTGGACATTGGGGCTTGGAGCAGCCTGGGACAGTGGGAGGTGTCCCTGCCCATGACTGGGATGGAATGGGATGGGCTTTAAGATTCCTTCTAACCCAAACCATGCTGAGATTCTGCGATTTTATTTTTTATTATTATTATTATTATTATTATTATTATTATTATTATTATTATTATTATTATTATTATTATTATTATTAAATTTATTATTATTTAATTTATTATTATTCTATGGGCACATAGTGATAGCAGCTGTTTGCAGCTCAGAAAGCTCCCAGGGCTAGATTCCATCCAGGCTGGGCCCTTGCTCTGTCAGAGCCTGGCTGAGAGCTCCGTGTGTGGTCACACCTTTGTCTGTCCCTGATCCTCTAGGCTCTGCTCTAGCCCCCTCAGGTGAGGGAGGATTCCCAGGGCACACAGGAAGGTCTCACCCAGAACTGGAGAACAGCCGATCCCAGGGCTGCACTCACCCTGTGCTGATGAGGGCAGTTCAGTGGGGCAGGATGTGGATTTTAGTCCCTCTCCTGTGCTGGCCGTGGGGACAAGGAGCACAGTAGTGTCCCTGCTTATCCTGTTGGTGAGACATGGGATCACTCGCTCAGTGCTGCACAGGGGTGTGAGGAGAGCCTGGGAGCCTTGAATCCCACTGCTGAATCCCAGCTGTTCACCATCCCTGTGCTGGCTGGCTGCTGTGTCAGCCCCTGGGGGCGGTCAGTGCTGCTCCAGGGCAGGGGCCCAGGGCAGCCCCAGCTCTGCCTCCCCTCCTCTCACTTCCCTCCGATGACTTCCCTGCTGTTGTGTTGCAGATGGCAGAACGGAGACTTCTTGTGCTTTTTGGCAGCCAGACTGGGACAGCTCAGGACACAGCAGAGAGGATCGGGAGAGAAGCCAAGCGCCGGCACTTGCGGTGCCGAGTGGAGGCCCTGGACAGCTGTGACGTGGTGAGTGGGACACAGGGGCTGTTCCAGGCACTGCTGCTCCTACTCCATCCCCAGCAGCCCCACGGGTAGGGACACCTCCCACGGGACCATGGAATCATGGAACAAGCTGAGTTGGAAGCAACCCATCAGGATCATCAAGTCAACTCCCGGCCCTGCCCAGGACACCACAACAATCCCACCCTGTCCCTGAGAGTGTTGTACAAACACTGTTGAACTCAGACAGGCTTGGTGCTGGTTGCTCCAAGCGCAGTCCAACCTGGCCTTGGACACTTCCAGGGATGGGGCACCCACAGCTTCTCTGGACAACCTGTGCCAGAACCTCATCACCCTCACAGGGAAGAATTTCTTCGTAAAATCTGACCTAAACTTGCCCTCCAGCTTATGGACATTCTTCCTCATCTGGTCGCTCCATCCCTTGTCCAGATTTTCTCTCCAGCTCTCCTGAAGCCCCTTTAGGCACTGGAAGGGGCTCTGAGGTCTCCCTGGAGCCTTCTCTTCCCAGGCTGAATACCCCCAGCTGTCCCAGCCTGGCTCCAGAGCAGTGTGGAGGCTGCTGACCTGACTGTGCCTTGTTTATATACACAGGCCAACCTCATCCATGAGCCTTTGGTGGTGTTTGTGTGTGCAACCACTGGCCAGGGAGACCCACCTGACAACATGAAGGTAGGACGTGCTCCTGTCCTGTTACTTTTATGTTCCTGCTGCAGAGCTTTCTCTCCTGAAGCAGCTCTAGCAGGGGTTATTTTTGCTGGGGGAGCTTTGCAGCAGCCTCAGTCACATCCCAGGGAACATGAGCAGGGGGCTGCTGAGGTGATTGCAGGGGGCACTTCTGCAAAAAGTCATGCTCCCCACTCTGCTGGGATTCAGGAGGCCCCAGTGGGTAGGTGAGCAGGAATGCAGGGACAAGCAGGCAGGAAGGTGCCATGGCAGCAAAAGGACTGGCTGGCTGTGTCCCTTGTAGATGTTCTGGCGGTTCCTGTTCCGGAAGAACCTCCCTGCTGGCTCCCTGTGCCAGCTGGACTACGCTGTGCTGGGCCTCGGGGACTCCTCTTACCCCAAGTAAGCAGCTCTGCAGCTCCTGGGCAGCTGCTCCTCACAGCTCTGACTGCAGTAGAGAGTAGAGTGGCTGGAGAACAAAGGGGGTAAGGGGGTACAGAGTCTGACTCTGGAGCAGCAGCTCAGACAAAATGTAACTTCCACCAGCCTTAAAAATCCTTGCCCTACTTCCCTCCTAACCCCCAGGAATTAGGTTTCTGCCTTAACCTCCCAACCAAGGATGCTTTGCTGCAGTGGGTCAGACATCCTGTGTCCGTCTTTTATCACAGCTATGGGCCAAGGCAACACGGGACATCAAACAGAGGTGGCAGTCAGCCCTGTTGGTCCCAGGTGTCTCCCAGAAGATTGTTCCTGTGTGCCTCAAAGAGCTATAGTGGGAGAGATGGGTGTGCCTGAGCTCTGTGGGGCAGTGAGGGGCTGGAGGGAAAGAAATGTTTTATGGCCCAGGGCACGAGCTGCCCTGAAGGGAAGCTGGACCTACCCTTGTCCGATCTCGGGGCTGGGCACAGCCTGTGAGGGCCAGCAAGTGGCACCCAGCTGGTTCTGTGAACTGGCACAGGCTGGGGCACAGGCTGGGCAGGGCATGGGCCAGGTCACAGTGCTGGCTCTGCCTGTGTGCTGCTCTGGTGGCCCTGGCAGTGTGTGCTGGTGCTGTGGCAGTGCCTGCTATGCTGCTGGAGCAGCCCTGCCCTGTGTTATTCTCTGCTCAGGTTTAATTTCGTTGCAAAGAAGCTGCACAAACGGCTGCTCCAGCTAGGGGGCAACCCGCTGCTGCCAGTGGCCTTGGGAGATGACCAGCATGACCTGGGGTAAGAGCCCACAGGAGAGGTGGCAGGGGGGTCTTCGGGTGCCCTGCAGCTCCATCCTGGGGCTGGTGGCAGGGCTGTGTGCTGCCCCCACCACGGGGCTGCTGCTGCAGCTCTGTGGTGCTGATCTCTGCTCATAACCCTCCTGTGCCAGGACCTGCTTCTCTAGGGTGTCCCATGGCCCCCAGAACGTGGCCATGACCCCAGGCTCAGCCCCAGCCCTGTTCAGAACAGGGCATGGCTATGTCACACAGGCCTGTACCTGCAGGCATTGCAGCAGCCTCAGCTGTGCTTACCTGGCATGGGGCAAAGGCTGTGGAGGGCTCAAGGACTCAGTGACCACATAGCTGCTGCTCAGGGGCTGGAGATCCTCTTCAGGTGTCAGTGGTTGGGCCCTGGAGAGTGGGTGAGTGAGTGAATGAGTGGCTGAGATATGTTTCTTCCCAGACCTGAAGTTGGAAGAGAATGGCCTGGGGTGACTGTGAGGATGGTTGTTGGGCACATGCAGGGGTAGCAGGACTTGACTCTGAAGGGATGATGTTGCTGCAGCCTCAATTTCCCACTTGCAGGCCAGATGCAGTGGTTGATCCCTGGCTCATGGCCTTATGGGACAAGATCCTTGCCTTGTATCCTCTCCCTCCTGGCCTTGAGATCATCAGTCCTGACGTGCGGTGAGTGCAGAGGATGAGCAGGGACTGCTGGGGCGAAAGGCTCTGCTTCCTTGGCTGTTCTCCTGAGTGGAGACGTGCTCTGCTTGGAACAGGAACTCTCCCCACACAGCTTCTGGTGACAGGTGGCCCATCTCTCTCTAGATGGGTGTCCCTTTGTCCCCTGGGGGGGTGTGACAACTGCCCCAGCCAGGTTCTGCCCATCTTACTGTCCTGATGTGCCTCTGGCCCTGGCAGAATGTGTGTGCCCCACCAGCGTCCCCCCTGCCTGCTCTGGAGCCTTTGGGATCTCCTCTTGGCAGTATCCATTGCATTCCCACTACCACAGATCAGCTCCAGGGGAATGGGGATAATGGCTGGTGGATACAGCGGGACACTCCAGGCCTCTCCCTGCCTCTGGCCTTGCAGCAGCAGAGGAGCTGTGGCATGGAGGTAACCCTGCTGCATTGCTCTCCTCCCCACAGCCTGCCGCCCAAATACACCCTGCACTACCTGCCCGAGGACTCCCCCCACCGTGACAGTGACCTGCTGCAGCTGGCAGCCCCCCAGGCTGCTCCCTGCGAGCTGCATCCCTTCCCTGCCCGCGTGGTGTCCAACCAGAGGGTCACGGCACAATCCCATTTTCAGGATGTCCGGCTCATCGAGTTTGACATCGCGGGCTCAGGGATCACGTGAGCATTTTCCTGACTCCCACAAGCTCTGTCGTGTGGGACCAGGTGTCCTGGAGCATGCCCTCCTCTTCTGCTGCCCTTTCTCACTGATATCTGAGGCTGCAGTCTTGTGGTCATGGTCCCTGCTGCGAGTGGGGCATCCTGCCCATGGACCAGCTCCCTTTGCCTGTCAGAGCAGTTGGTGGCACTGGGAATTTGCCTCCCCTAGTGTGGGTGCTGGTCAGGGTGGTGATGCTGTGCCTGTGGCTCTGCCCCGTGGCTGTGCTTG